TAATATCTTATATCTCACGTCTGCTGTCTCGAAGAATCATATCCATTTTCGTCCCGATTAGCGGCCATCGGTACCATTTAGTATAATTTTCTTCCTTTTTTTATGATTTTGAACATTAATTTTTCCGTACAAACGCGTTTAAAATACTTTAAGTATTTTCAAAACGTTAATACTCATGTTGCTAATTTAATTATGTAACAATATGGAAATAAAATAAACATTATGTCGTCCGTACAATTACACCGTTTCCCCACTTTTTTCCATATTTTGAGAGGTTTGTTTTTATGATCTTTAGAGATTCGTTATTAAAATTGCTTTTGGTATGCCTCGTTGTTATTTGCCAGTGATTCATCTACCATAATAAAATAACAAACATAATTGAAGCCAGAACAACAACAAATCGTCCCCTCTCTGCCACGCAGTGTTGTCGCATTGTCGCTCAGTTGCTATACAAGTTTGTTGTGATTTTCGAAGGGGAATAAGTAAATAGGCAGTTACGCATATTTAACTGCAGCCACAGGCACATAGGGATGCGTCTCTAACGAAGCAACTCGTGTCCAGTGTTCAGCTGGCGATTATACAGGGTGGTTGGTAACTGGTGGTACAAGCGGAAAGGGGGTGATTCTATACGAAAAAAGAAATCGAAAATATAGAATAACAATTTTTCGTTTGAGGCTTTGTTTTCAAGAAAATTGACTTTGAATTTTCGCTCGGTACGCGTGCGGTACGTTATAACGGATTTCACTGTAGAACGTTGTCTCGATGAAAAAATTAAAAAAAAAAATCTTTTTGAAATTTTTTATTCTATATTTTCGGGTTCTTTTTTCGCGTAGAATCACCCCCTTTCCGCTTGTACCACCCGTTACCAACCACCCTGTATATATGCACATATGCACAGGTCTCAATACTCGCTAGGAAAAGCCGTCCAGAAATTGGGTCGTGACTAATTGTAAAAAATCAACCTGGAAGACAACAAATTTCGCGTTCTTGCGATATAGACAGAGTAGAGTGTCTCTGTCTGAGACATCTTTGTCTTCCATGTTGATTTTTCACAACTAGCCACGACTCAATTTTTTAATGGTTTTCCCTAAGCTTCGGTATATGAATATCGAGACCTGTTTATATGATCGTGATTCAGCCATAGGCTAATCAGCCAGAGCGCAGTTTCTTTCGTTTATTTGAAAGTATATAAATAGGAGTTGCACGATTATACAAAAGAAGTAAATTTTTCTTCGCCATTGAGCTTATCACCTGCAACATCATCGCTGCACTCGCGATGGGTTTCGCTGTTCTTAACTCGGTTGTCGGTTACGATCGATGCATTGTTTATACTCGGTGGAGTTGGCTCAGCTTCCGCTGATCGCTGATTCGCAATGTCTGGAGATGCCTGACTGCAGACGATTTACATTGCTTTCCATTTTGCACGGTGCGCTGGTTTGCATAAGATTACGAATAATTCGTGCACAATCACATTGCTCCAGATCGTGCTGGTAAGCAGCAAGAACAACAAGTCATCCATTTCGTCGAACTGTGTTACTTTTTTCCGTTCTGGTTATATACGGATTAGGATTATTATCCTGATATACATCTTCGCCATACAATCTTATGTCTACTACTCAGTCTTTGTCGCCTTTACTCGATTCGGGTAGCTTCTTCAAACGGTGTCGCTTATCGTACAATTTCCCCTGCACCTCTTTTCTCATATTTTCTTTGAGAGCTACTTTATCGTGTTCTACGAAAGAGCCCGAGTTTTTCGGAAAAATAGGAATATGAGACCGACTTCTTCTCGAATTATTAACTGTGCAGACGAATAAGAGTTCTAGTGGCGTTTTTATGGAAGATAAAAGTCCTACCCTAATACCTTCGCATTTTTTATGATGCTTTTAGCAATCTCCGCCGCTGCTTTGGCAACGCCATTGCTCTACGAGAATCTTGGAAACTTGCTACGTTGTTGATGAACTTGTTCAAAGTCTAAATCACTCGCAAACCGACCAAGATCGGACTTCTGGAATATCAAATCTAGTGAACATTGCTTTATAGATCAACCTGCAGATCAAACTATCAAAAGAAAAAATTTATACTGACTCTTTGGGAAATACCTGTGATGACCAAGGACATGCACAAGCAAATATCTTTTGTGTACCAATGATCGGTACAATTTATGACACAGGCGCCAGCAAAGCTATTTTCGAGGGAGCTGTTTTTTATCTATCGCTTTCATTACTTTTGCGTGTATGCATTTTTCCGATCAAGTTTTGTTACTAGCCTCGATAGTGTCTAAAGACCCTACTTGTCGATGACCCTAAGGACCCTACTGGTCCGCTGACCAGAGCAAACTACGTCAAGTGGCTCGAGCCCGGAAGAAATCCCACGGCGTCAACGAGTGTACATCTGCAAATTTCCCGCCAAGCAGCACTCTGATCTTGAAACGTACTAAGAAAGAAGTGTGATAAACAAATACCTAATTAGCTGAGCCAGAATGGGAGTTAGTCAATTAAATAAAAAAAAAAGTGCCTTCGAATCTTGAAGAAAGCGAAAAACTGCGAGGCGATAATTAGTAAGAAATTACGATCGTGTATGCCCGGAAGAAAATATGTTATCCGCTATCGGAGTAAAGACATATCACAGAATTATTGTGTAATAGCAACAAGCCCTTGCAATCCCTTCATACCCTAAACTAAATATAGAAAACAAGTTGTTTATGGCTGCAAAAGATCACATTGCTAAATTCGAAGCACTATGATCCATAATCCTAACAAATATAAGTAACGCACCGCGATACGTACGCAATAACGAGCTTATAAAGGACTTAGAAATGCCAACAATAGCCGAAGAAATAGCCCAAGAGGAAGATATAAATCCAGACTAGCGAATCATTCCAATAACTCGGCCAAGTATGTGTACACAGTTAATCTACCTAAAAGACTCCATAGAGAACATTCAAAAAACCTTCTTTCGCAATGACAGAACATTAGTATGAATTTTCTGCACGAACGCTTTCTGCTGAGAAAGCATCTACACGATACACCTTGTGTACAGTGTACAGCTTCGTGCTCGCTGTTGATTCTACTTAACAAACTCTTTTTCTTGCGCCAACTATCGGCATTATTCTCACTTTGGCCTAGAGTTTAGAGAGTTTTATACTGGGCAAAGAGTCCACGAGAACTAACTGTTGCCTCAGAATATAGGTCACTTTATAACAGCACCGTATTAAACGTATGCGTAATCTACGCGATTTAGGTATGAACGATGGCTGACGGTTTCGTCTGAAACTGTCTGCAACAGCGGTTTACAATGTAACGTTAACCGTTTGAGTCCCAGGGGCCACTGAAAAAACGGGGTCGAAAAATCCCGAACAGCGCGATAGCGCTTGTTGCAATCAATTGCGAAGAGAAACAAACCGCACAATATTTTCGGCTCGTCATATTTGTTACTTTATGAAATACATCTATATTATTATATATGCGTACTATTAGTTTATAAATATTTCAAGTTTTGTTCAACAAAAATTATTGAGAAGATAACAATGAAATACAAAATATCATCGTAGCGTACAAATGTACTGAGACTTTTCGACACAAAATCTAAACAGCGCGATCGCGCTGCTTAGGACTCAAACGGTTAAAGTACTCATATATTCTTTAAAACGCTCGATAGCAAATGGAAGTCAGAGTTTCTTTTTCAATTTGGCTGTATTTTCCCTCGCGCGAGATCAACGTTTTTGAAGCATACATCACAACCTTCCGACTTTTGTTTTCGTCTTCTTGCAGCAGAGCTTTGCCTACAATATAACTCGATGCATCTCCTTAAATTATAATATTTCTGGAAAAGTCAAAATGTGCTAGAGTTAATGTTCTTTTCACACGATTCTGTATCTCTTCGAACACTCGTTTTTGAACTTCAGGCCACACGAAACGAACGTTATCTGTTAGGGAAGAAATAAGCTGTTTGAGGATTTACGATTTATTCGGTATTCTATTTGCCGATGTAGTTGCCGATGTATTTGCTGATACGCTCAAGAAAGCCACACGCTCAGAAACAGTAATAGGATAGGCTAAACATCCATGCCATAGCCAGCGAAACAATAACCAAATAGTACCGGAAAATATGCGCTCGACATCATTCTATTCTAAGATTTTGAACCGTCACTCTGTTGGATTTGCATAATAAATTCTATTACCATATACAAAGTTCAATTTCTTCATCTTATTTGTGAAACGTTCGAACTGCGACGCGAGGAGATTGTCACGTAAATTCCATCAGAGACCAGGCCACACACCGCAACTTAGATTATAAAAAAAGAAGGTTGAGCCGCAATCCAACTATTAACTTTCTTTTATCAAACTTTATTATAAATACAATGGTTTTACAGAGGTAGAATAATACTAAATCAGACAAAGGCTGAACAAGAACTGCTCGAGCTGGCTGAAGTCTCGGCTTATATAGTTTTGGTTTGGGGATGTTGAGGGGCTCGGTGTATGTTATGATGTGCAAAAGTATCCGAAGGTAGGAGGTCGATGTCTTATCTATGATGTAGACTAAAGAGTCTCGGTGTAGGCTATGAGGATAGGGTGGTGACGTGTACAAAAGAGTCCGAAACTCGGGGGTCGATGTTTTACCTCTGATGTGGATTAAAGTGTGTCATAGCCTCGGTGTAGGCTATGACGATAAGGTGATGACGTGTGCCTTATCTCTGGTGTAGATTAAGATGTGGTTGATATCACAAGATCACCAGCGATCTATCATTTTCGTAATTTCTTGTGTCTCCTACGTGACAAAATTAGCGATCCTTGCCAGGATCCATTCAACGCATCAAGAGAAAACTTCAACGGGAACTCTACGGATTCTACAGCGAAGGACCACGGCCACCTCCTTGATCAAAAGAAGGATCCACAAAGAATCTCGATAAGCTGGCTTTCGAACATTATCGAATCAATAGACCCGAAATACGTTCTGAAGATAGTAACTCTTCTTCTGCTGAAAGTATCGTATCTATCAACATGAATCGAACTGACAAGAGTACGGCGAAGCAAAACGAACTAATTGCTACTATTTTCGAACAACTTCAAAGTCTAGCTCACGAGTTTAGAAACTTTGGAAGTAATATTGAGCAAAACATTAACAAAATAAAAGAATTTACGGAAACTAGTGATAAAAACCGGGCCAAGGAAATACGTGCGGCGGCATACGACAGCACAATTACCACCACTCGACACCAGCTAACACCGGACAACGGCAGCGCAGTGGTTAGCGCCTTAGGTTACGAATGTTCGGGACCCAGATTCAAGTCCTGGCGCTCGTAGTCCGATTTTTCTTCCACGATATCTAAATAAGAAGAAAATACAAAGTACCCCAGCAGCGACACCCGCAGCAGAACCTATTTCGGCCTCTACACGAGCATTAGTACTATCATCTAACAACTATCATGACCTATCCACCTCATACGTAACCTTGCAAAAACTATAGGAGTGAAATACGACACTGAAACCGACCAGCCACAGATCAGCACCCACTTAAAAACCGGTGCCGAGAACGTGACAGACGACGGAACCGACGGACCAGACGCTTTACAAAGACCACGAATTAGTCACGTCACGATTAGACAAAGAAACGACTGCGGCAAACAACAAGGCCTCCAAGCAGGAGAGGCCATACGAACTATTGAGACACTACGGGGTCAAGACGACGTAGGTGTTGAAGATTTTATCAGTCCCCAAAGCAAGAGCCAAGTGCAAAGGCAAGTGCTAGAGACTTCCTATTAGATCTTATACTTACTGAAAAGATAACCGATAACGCGAAAAGGAATATAAGAATTAAGTATAAAGATTAACTCGTTTGAAGACTTATATTCATGTCTAAGACAATACGTATTAGTACTAACCACTAGCAATTAGTACCAACTACTGCAGGAACAAATTGAAAAATTTAAAACAAGGAACAACAGAAAGCGTACAATCCTTCAACTCCAGATTTCGACGACAGCTCAATGAGTTAAATTATGCAGTTCAACACGAAAACCGCGAGCCGATTGAACGACGCGTAGCTTTGGATATTGACGAACGCGAAGCAGTAAAGACATATTTGCTCAATTTACGATACGAAATAGGACAGGTGTTATTAGCTAGCGATCCGAAAAACCTGAACCTCGCCCAACAATTAGCAGCCGATAAAGAACAATGGTTGCGAGAAGCAAATCGTGTCTCCCACCGCCCAAAAAATCAATTTAATAACACTACGCACGTATTTAAACGAAGTGCTACCAATCTACAGCCACAAACTTTTAGCCGACCATCAAGTGACCGAATGAAATTAAATTGTTCCAAGTGCTCTCGAATCGGACACACAGCCGAGATGTGCTCTCTCGAAATTTTCCATTCGGCAACCAAGGAACGACCTCACCTCGAGTAAACCAAACAACGGAGAATCCAGGTCGGAAAATTATTATCAATCATATTGCGACGCAAAGAGATCACCGACGATCTATCATTTTCGTGATTTCTTGTGTCTCCCGCGTGACACGCGCTCCGACAGAATATCGATAATGTTCGAACATTCGATCGATTTCACAAGCGAAAATTTATTTTTGTTTAGAGTGACTCTTTTTTGCAAACGTGCGAAAACGATTTTTAAGGTCTTGTTGTCTACATTCGATATGGTTGAAGACAAACCTGAACACATTTTTGAAAAATAATGTCATAGGCAGCTTCTGCCAAACGGTAAACATGTACCTGCCAAGGAAAGTTACGAACATACTTAGAAGTTGACTTTTCTTATCTAGCTTAATGTGGTGGTGCCCCGCATTTGCATCCAATCTAGAAAATATTTTCACCTCTTTTAACACTAAACCTACTAGCGTCGGTCAAATTGACCGCTCTCGAACTTATTTAACCTAAAAATTTAACCATATTTAAACGTTATCATATCGCTTCATAATTTTTGACTTTTCCTAAAACATGTACACAATATATTTTTCGATATTTACTTTTAATTTGCTCTTTCATTTTCTAAGAAAAATTTGTATTCTGCCTTGCTTACCGCGAGCTGCCAATTTGACAGCCCGACAAAATATTTTCGTTATTCTTAAAATAAATGCAATCAATACAAAGAAAGGATATCTCAAGGTCAAATGACAAACAAAATCAATAATAACAAATAATAACAGCTGTTACATCCGTAATCTTCTCATAAAACATAACTCAGATCTATAATGATCCTAAGGAATCACCATAAAATTTAGCATTGTTTTCAGTCTATTGTTGCAAATATTTTAAAAATCGACAAGTTTCTTAGGGTTATTGCTCATTGCAATAAAACACGGGAGAAACTTTCCCAACTCCACCCTCGAATAACCGTCGGTGGAGAACGGTCAATACTCATCAATATTTTCGTGTAAACATCGCAGTCACAGACCATATTCTTACTTGTTGTCCTTTCGACTAGAATACATCTCAGTTTGTTAGTCAATCAGTCGACATCTAAACTTGTTATCTCTAAAACTGAGACAGAAAGCATGTCAGAGCGTTTTGTGTAAAATTGTTATAAAAGGAAAAGTAAAGCATATCAAATTTGACAATAATTTTATATTCTGTACATAGTATTCTGTGACAAACATTTATGAGGTGGTTGTTGGTGAAGGTGCCAACAATAACTACTCTCGATGTTCAACAAAAAAAGTTTATTAAACTATTAACAATCAACAATCAACAATTAACGATCAACGATTAACAATCAAGAGTTAATAACCACGTATCTCGAATTGTGTTTGCTTCGCTATGACGCTAAACCTTTCGCACTTTGCAGCTCGAGGCAGAATCTATTGTTCGAAACCAAACGGATTCTTTTCTTTGTTGCCCTTCGATATCCCTACTACGCACACGTTTATTAGATGTCCGCGACAGTTGCCGCGTATGCATTCTTCCGAATATTCGACGAAAGAACCGTAGGGATATCAATGGTACATTAGGCATGTCGGCCTTACGCTTTGAAGGTATAGCGCCTTGTGTCGCGAAACGGTTGGAAAGTTCCGTGAGAAATATCAAGACTTTTAAAAAAAAATTAAAAATAAAATTATAGACATAGAAGACTGTTCAGTGTGCGATGAACAAGAAACTTCAGCAACTGAAAACGGCATGGAAACACATAAAAAGCTATTTACAACCTAAACAGAGTTGAATATTATTTATAAATAAGCGTTCACGTCCAGAGCAAAAAAGAAAGAAATTGTTGACAGCAGAGAATGAGACTGATTTAGAGAAACAATGTATCGAAACTGCGCCCGATGGGACAGTTTGCAAAGAAATAGATGCAAGTTCCAAACCTGCCAGGACATCATACATACATAATACACATTTTACTTCCACACTGATCACCGTATAAGGGATCATATAATAAAATGTACGGAAGAAGAGCATTTAGAGTATTTGGGACTAACAGGGAACTATAATAGATGCAACAAAGCTAGATGCATTCATTGCTCTGCTATATGCCCGCGATGCATATCAGGCAAAAAATTTAGATGCCTCATATTTGTGGAATAAAATTTGGAGACCTGCATTTTTTTCAAACTGCATTTTTTTCAAAAATGGAATAAAATTTGGAGACCTGCATTTTTTTCAAAAACAATGAGCAGGAATGACTTTGCTGAAATTATGAGGTTTATACGATTTGATAAGAAGAGCGAAAGAAGCCAACGTTTACGAGCCAATAAATTTGCAATAGTATCTACAGTACGGGGTCAATTTACAGAGAATTCACAAAATTCTTATAAACCTGGTGCATACATTACTTTTATTTTTATTACTTAAAGAATCACGGGAAAAAACCATGCAATAAAACTATCAACAAGATCAGATTTATTACTGCAAAAATCTTGTCAAGTAAAAAATTGTAAAGGTTACAAAATTATGAAAATTTGTTTAAGACTCGGGAAATATTTATGCGGCAACGTTTGATAATAAGATAATTTGTAAAAAATGCAGCGAAGTTGAATAAAATATATCTCTATATAAATAAAAATGTGAAAAAATTCTATTTAAGTCTATAATTGAAATTAAACAAAAATAAATTTGGACAAAATTTTATGAAAATTAATTATTTTATATATATTTAGTTATAGATTAACCATTATCTAAGTTAAATCATAAAAACTATTACTTCTTTAGTCACCGGTCATTTTGACCGCACATGGTATGAATAGGTATATACGATGTGTTGATAGGTTTAGTGTTAACGTCATCTACCTTAGGTAACGGGTGGATTGCGTTACTATTAAGCTTTGTGTAATCGCGGGAACGAATTTCGTCGGTGTTCTTTTTACGACTGCCATCGGGTTACATCATCCGCCGGACAATTTGCCAGTTTTATCACCCTCTGCCTAATAAACTTATCTAGTGTTGAGAAATATCAAGTTGGTATGATCACTAGTTCTTACAAGATAAGTTGGTACAACTCCTAACGACGCTTCTTTGCTTAGGCGTCGACCACGTGTTAATTATCTAAGTGTATCCGGTGTGTTCAGACGGTTGTACGAGGTGGTGAAATATAGAAAGTAAAATTCAATCTGTGTGAATCTATTAAATATCAATCCCAAACCTATATTTAACAACATGAATGACGAAAATTGCTTAATTACGGCTATGGCAAAATCTAGATTACAGTGTTAAGGGATTTTCCCAAAGTTTCAAAGGGAAGGTGAAATACAGAACGTAAAAACTGAATCTGTGTGGATCAATTAAATATCAAACTCCCAAACCTATTTAATAACATCTAGTTCTTCTTTTAGTTTCGGAAATAACGGTATATATGGCTACTTTACTGGCATGCGGAGTGGATTAAGAAAAAGATTCAATACTCTCTCTTAAATAGATTTAGTTCTTTGAATTGATCAAGACCACTAAGACCTTGATCAAACTCGCGAATTATTTTCGCACTTGCAGAATCAACTGTTCAAAGATTATTTACCTCCTTTTCTAACTTCAATTTTCGCATTTCGGGTTTTTCGAGTAGATTTTGCAAGAGACAAACTTTGAATTTACATCAACTACTAGTTTCTTACCATTTGCCCCGTAAATAACTCCACGTCAATCTATATCTGTAAAATATCTATAAAATATCCATAGAAAAATATGCATTTTCGGCAAAATCCAATATTCCCAAGTTAATTAAAAAATCGCATTTTTCAGCTGACGCATCTCCACTTATCGATCTTAAAAACACCGCGTCGCGAACATCTTTCTCCAATCGTTGAACGCTATTCGATTTACACACTCGATCCCAATATCCGATTTTCTTGCATTTGTGACAAGTTCGTCGAAGCGCAGGGCAGCTATTCGAATCCGAACGTCTATGAAGATCACATCGGTTGCATTGCGCACTGTTCTTTCTTTTCTGCGTACAGGTCCTTTTCTTTTGCGGCTTCTTATTCTTGGAAATGCTTTAAGAAGTCTCAATTTGTTTATACACACGGTTGGTCTAGTTGTGATTTATTATCTCCTTGCATAGCAAGCGTATCGTTTTCTCCGCGATCAAATCGGGTGTTAGTTTTGAACGCTCTGACGTTTCTATATTGCTCACGCTAATGATAATACGAGCACAAATTAGATCTACTTTTAACGAGTGCCGTAATCGCACGTTTCGTCTAACGTGTCAGACGAATTCGCCGTAACAGATGAATCAACATTTTTGTCCATCGGTATACTCTTGAGTTGAATCTTTCGAAAATTCTCTTTCGAATATTCTTGTTTTGCAAAAAGTACGTATTAAATTTGTCTTTCACTGCTTTCAGCGTCGTAATGTCGTTAATCTGAGGCAGTGGTCGATTTAAAATTTCTTTTGATTTTGCGTGATCCTGTGTTGTGGTTTTCGGGGGGACTAAATAAATAGGCGGTTGCGCACGTTTAATTGTAGTAGCAGACACGTGGGAACGTGTCTCTGACAATGTGATCCCTGTTCAATGTTCAACCATACTTCAGTAATACAAAGCGTGCTGCTGTAACTCTTCCTAAAGACGCGCTCGCACATTAAACGTATTTCATACAAATCTATAAACTTTATTTATTTTGTGCCGTTTTGCTTTTATTACTTAGATACTTACACTGTTCCTAAATATTAGAATATTTATGAAAAGTGAGGTAAACCTGAGAATCGTGGGAAAATTATTATCTGATTTGTGTATTTACTCATTTTATTTATTTCATTTATTTCAAGTTCCAAAAATGTATGGAAATACCGAATATTTAAGATTAAAATAAAGGAAGTATACTTCTCCTTTTTGCATTATATTTTAAATGGATTCCATGCATTGCATTCCATGGTGCTCTACGGCTACCAATCTATGATTTATTTCTATGTTATTTGCAATTTGCTTCTGGATTTTTATATACAGAAGTAAAATTTCGTGAATTAGAGCAACTGGAAGCAATTTGTATGAAAAATTGATTACAGGACCTCATAACTGTGGTCTCAAAATGATCGTACAAATCTCTTTATCGTATACTGATTAGCTTTAAAAAGCAGGAAATTATAGAGGCAATGTTTACGCTTCTGACTCTGTTTTTAATTCTGTCCGATTAATCATTTTTCTGGTAATGTCAGTCGATTATCACATTTTATGTAAAATTAACAGATATCACGATATTTATGATCCGTAGTGTATATATAACATATCTGTATATGTATATACAATATACAATACAAAATGGCAAATAATTCTCGATGTCATAGTTCATCCTTTCAACGTTTAATTGTCTCTGAAAACATGTTTCGAGCATTTCGATTGACATTTCCACTGCGAGAGTGCACGACTGGCGCCTTCGTGGTGGTCAGTTTAATTTGATGTAACCAAATTTGCATTTCGGTGAAGCCGACAGTTCTCGTTTCACTGTTTAATCTTCCTGATTGCCGCTCCATAGAAACGCAGCTGTATCTCGGTTGGAAACGATAATCACCAATGATTTCAACCGTGTCGATTATTTTCGTTTGCGTATCGTACGCTCAGGAAATTTCTCTATCCCAATATCAATGACTGCCTTCGCTCAATAATTCCGATCCCTATTTCTGTTCCAATGTTATGTAAATGCGGTAAACAACTTTTCGTGCGATTTCATCTGCTTGATGCAATTTTGTTTAAATTATTTGCAATATGCATTTATCTTTCTAGTAAACAAAATTACATGTTAATCGTTTAGAAGTTCTGTCTTCTCGCTGATTTCGATACCCTTGAAATACATTGTCAATGTAATCATTTTGAACAACTTTTTCCAGTGCAAATAATAGCCGCCCTGCTTTAATTTCCAAGATACAGTTATTCCTATTGATATTCGGACACCTAAGGGTAGCTTTTTTAAAATTGAACCAAACAATTTGAGCTTTTTTTTAAGAAGTTAGAAGAAATAGTTTACTAGGTGACGTATAAAAAAAATTTTTCAAGTCGCAATTGGTCGCAATTGCTAAGAACAATATCAGTCAAAAAAAAGCACTTTTTATCAAATCTCTCATCAACTATTTCAAAGATCTATTTTTTCATCTGAATGTGTAATTGAAATTTAAACAACACATTTCGAAGATTTATGCCAGTTATATATACATTAAAAATTTCCTCGAAATCGATTAACGTTGCTATAAGCTACAAATGGTTAAAAGTGGTAAAAATCGCAGATTTTCGCCACTTATCGAACAATCGATTTCGACAAAATTTTCAGCATATATGTATACACCTGACATAAATTTTCAAACTGTGTTTAAATTTTCATAACAGGCCCAGATAAAGAAAGTCGTAAAACGCAATCTTAAATTTTCTCTTCGCGATTCTGATCAATTGCAACGTTTTTAAAATTTTAAGGGAATCGAAATCTGCGAGGAGGCCTAACCACTAAATAATTACCAATTGCATATAGGGTAAGATTGTGTTATATGTATAAACAATTTTTGGTGACATGATAAATAGCTCGGTGATCATAGTTTTCTATGACAATGTAATTGTTAGTCATCAAAATTAAGAAATTTATAAGAAATTTATTCAGTTATTACCGATATTCTCAGTTAATAATTATTTATCGTGATTCAGTGACATGTATATGTTATTTTATTTCTGGAAGTTATTTTATTATTTTATTGAATAATTCTTACATAGGGTGTCCGGTAAAACATGGTAAAACATAGATTGCTTGCAAAACTAATACCTATAAATAAAAAATATAAGTATAATTTTATAATTATAATTTTTCAATTACTGTCCTAGTTTTTGGGAAAAATAGATTTGAATACAAAGATATCGTTAATTCAATACAGTAAGTTTATATGGCATATTTCATATGTAATCATACTGGTAGTTTAAAGTAAAGAGAGAGAAATATTAATAAATAATATTATGAAGAGAGAGAGAGAGAGAGAGAGAGATAGAGAGAGAGCGAGAGAGAGATAGAGAGAGAGAGAGAGAGAGAGAGACAGAGAGAGAGAGCG